GTGAGCAGGCAATTGATGTGTTCATAATATTCAGCCCTGTCACCAGGCGAAAATGTTGGCATTGTATGTTCCTGCAAACTGACTACGTTTCCGTAAACGTTTCTAAAGTGACACAGTAAATGAGCTGACTTTGTCATATGGAAACACCTGTAAAGCTGTAGACCACTGCAGACCAACAAACAAACACAGAGGTTTTTTAGTGACCCATCACTGTTTTTCCACCAGAAATTGTGCCACAAATACTGGTTGTTTTTTACTGAGACATTGCTGTGTTTGCTGCCTGTATACTGCAGCAAAACCAGATATTTTTTACAGAGGTATCCCTGAAGTTCCTGCCAGGACTGTACCACCAAAGGCAGGAATTTTAAGCCAAATCCTAATCTTATCCTAACCATACACGAATGGTTTTTCTGTTAAAAACGATATCTCCATCTGTACCAACACAACCGCTCATGTGATGAGCAAGCAACTAGTGAGAGTGCGGACGTAACAACTGTGCACAGGGCCCTTTGACCTTTACCCTACACAATGGACTTAAAAGTGAATAACTTAATAAGTTATTAACTAAGGGCTACACATGAATATGACATGACATGCTCCAGTCTACAGCACATCCAGAGGCCTGAAGCTTAAGTCCCTGGCACACCAAGCTGACGTCTGAGAACTAGCAGCGACGAGAGCCCCCTGCTAACATGTCTCAGCTTAAAAGTTGCACATGGAAACACCAAACCGCCAACCAACAAGCGGGTATGTTCTGCGCCTGTGTGAGAGGACATACCCCTCCATACCAGCAGACGGCCGTCATCTGTAATTGTCATTCAAAAAGGGAAACTGGAAGACTGTCTTGATGCTAGTTAGCCAGTTAGCACATTAACAACACATCCAATGCTGCGTGTGAACAGAGCACATTAATCATGTGCCAGTGAACAATAACACAAACCATCAGGAAACGTTTCTGATAAAGAGCTCCATGGCTGAAAAAAAACAATCTATTGTATATAATTACCTTTTTTTTTACCTCACCCTTTCAACTTTAGTGTTTTGTTTACTTTCCTCACTTCCGTCTCTATTCTGGTGCACTGAGCTGAACTGCCAATCACAGTGACTTCAATTAGAATGGGCTTCAACATAGTGAATCAGCAGAAAAAAGGCCAAGTAGTGCCATGAGGGCCACCAGTGCAGGACACACCATACCAACGAGGGCCACAGACACTCACCAATAGCCCAACTTTGACCGTCAGCTGACCATCAGCTTGGTTGTCCTAATTTTTGTCCTCAAATTTGCGCTATAGCTGCATTATCACTGCAGTTTTAGATTCCATTACATAAAAAGTGTGCATCTTTTCATATAGATAACACAATCTTTTAAACCTAATAAAATGTTAAAATATTTGCTTTGTACGGTAGCCCATATGTTTGTCAGCAAGCTAAATGCAGCGTCACAAAGTGCAGCAGACACGGAAATGTTCATTTCACATTAGTCATGCTGAAGCAGTGCATCATGGGTGTGACCCTTGACCCCAACTGCAGGGGGTGGGGTGTGTCACCATATGGTGCTGAGAGAATGATTTTGTGTGTGTGTGTGTGTGTGTGTGTGTGTGTGTGTGTGTGTGTCATAGAGAGTGACGGTTGGGATGATGAGACCCAGGGGAGAGACAAGGCGGTTGAATAGGACACGCACATCAACGCAGTTTTATAGACACACACACACACACATGATGACATAGGTATAAAACTCCATGCAAATAAGATGAAATGAATACATAGGAAGAATCTCTCTGCACGCACACACACACACACACTAAATCACTGTGCTGCCTATATCTATAAAATGCCAGTGACTTTGTGAGTCTGACTCTATGATGATTAATTCCCTCGCAGCTCCTGTCATACATCACAGCAGCAGAGCAGTGAGCTGAGCGCTGGGGATGATGAGACATGAAACCATCAGCACACCTCACTACTAATCCTCCCTTGATTCCTTCAGACCCTCTTTCCTCTCCCTCACAGTAATAGGGGTCAATTTACCTCAGAGCAGCTCAGAGCCGCGGCTCCATTCCTCTTTAATATAACGCACCATATTAAAGAAAATAAATGCACGTACACTCGCGTGCACACGTGCCCGCAGGAGGCTGCTCTCCGCCCGGCCTGCAGGCTGCTCATCTCTGCTCAGTTCACTTGACTGACTCATACAAAAATGGGGGGGGGGGGGGGGGGGGGGGGGGGGGTATGACCCGTGGTTAAGCAGGCTGCTTCATAATGGATGAACGCAGTCATTTGAACACGTCATATCAGTATGCATGAGTGACGATTCATTACCAGCATTAGAAACTGTAGAGCCTGTTATAAGCTTAACTAAATAAATATTATCCTGAGGTGAGCTCATCGTACGAGCACATCACAGCAGTGCTACAAGGCTGAATATCACATGGATGTGACATGTATTTATTATTAAAAAAAAAAAAAAAAAAAAGAGGTTACTCATACAGTCACCACCTGAGACACTGAGTGACCTCATTAGGAAACATACAATAACAAGACTGCCTTTGTGTGGAAGCATCATGATTTTATTCTCTTACTGTAATACTGCAATTAGAGCTGAAACGACTGGCTTAATTAATTGATCAGTCGAGCAAGAATGTTAATAGCAAACTGTTTTAATTAGGGCTGGGCAAAATATTGATATTATTTTTATATTATGATATGAGACTTGATATCTTAGATTTTAGATATCATAATGTTAGGCTGCATTACAGTAAAGTAATGTAATATTCTGAATTGACTGACTGTTCCAGCTGTTACATTACTTACCCACGTAGTTGTTATATCCACATTACTGGTGACTGTTTATCAAAAATCTCATTTTGTAAATATTTTGTGAAAGCACCAATCGAGTTTGAGGAACTGGGTCAGAAATATAGTGATATTTTAGCCCTAGTTTTAATAGCCAAAGTCAATTTTTAATCTAAAATGCCAAACATTTGATGGTTGCCACTTTTCCCATCAACTCTGAGGTTGATCAGATTAAATCTCGAGGAGGAGTTCGTTAAAGTACGACCCCTGGAAATGGCCGAAAATGCACAGAAGTGGCACAGTAAATTCAAAATGGCTGACTTCCTGTTGGGTTTAGAGCATTGCTCCAAGAGGCTTTTTTGTACGTCTTGGGCTTTTACATATGCCTACCAATTTTCATACCTCAAGGAAAAACATACTGCAGGGGCTGCTCCGTCAAACTTTTCTGGGGAGTGCTAGTAAGCCATCTTGGCACATAAAAAACATGAAAATCAAATCAGACAACAAAATGTGTGTGCCAAGTTTCGTGAATTTTCAAGCATCCCGTGCCCATTAAAAACAACTTCCTGTTTTTTATATCAATATACTGCCCAGCCCCGATAAGACCACTCAGTATCGACGTATATGGTCAGAAATATCGTGATACTTGATCTACTCCATATCACCCAGCGCTAATTTTAATAACCAAAGTCAATCTTTAATAAAAAATGCCAAACATTTATCATTGTAGCTTCTCCAGTGTGACGGTTTGCCACTTTTCCCAGTCTAACATCAAATTAAGGTGAACAGCTTTGGATTTGTACTGTTGGCCAAACAAAGAAAAGCTGTTTGATGACATCACCTCTGCCTCTGTGAAATGTCTATCCTCACTTTTTACTATTTTCTGGATGTATTACAGACCAAAGGACTAACTGACCATTCAAGGAAATAATTAGCAGTTTAATTGATTGAAAAAATAACTGTAAAATGCAATATATGACTTGAAAGTGTAAGTACTAGGGCTGGGTAATATCCTGATTATATCAATATCTTGATGTAAGACCAGATATCTTCTTAGATTTCAGATATTGTGACATCATAAGTGTTGTCTTTTCCTGGTTTTAAAGGCTGCATTACACTTAGCAGACTGTTCTCGCTGATCTGTCATTTCCTTTTACCTACTTAGTCAATATATCTACATTTATGATGATTATTTATGAGGGTATTTGGTCAAAAATATCATGATGTTTGATTTTCCCCATACTGCCCAGCCCTATTTATAATAACCAAACTCAATCTTTAATAAAAAATGCCAAACATTTATGATTGCAGCTTCTCCAGTGTGAAGGTTTGTCACTTTTCCCAGTCTAACAATTCAATAAAGTGAACATCTTTGGATTTGGACTGTTTGGTCGAACAAAGAAAAGCTACTTGATGACATCACCTCCACCTCTGGGATGTTTTGATGTCCACTGTTGACTATTTCCTGATATTTTACAGACCAAAGAACAAACTGAATATTCAAGGAGATAATCAGCAGATAAATCAATAATGAAAATAACTGTCAAGTGCAATATCTGACTGGAGAGTGTATTTACTAGGGTTGGGCAGTATCCTGATTTTATCAATATATTGATATGAGACTAGTTGTCGTCTTAGATTTCAGATATTGTAATATCATGTGGTGTCTTTTCCTGGTTTTAAAGGCTGCGTTGAAGTGATGTAGTGATGTAATTTTGTGAACTTAGCAGACTGTTCTAGCTGCGCTATTATTTGTCTGTACCCATTATCAAAAAATAACCCTAAAGTATTGCCACAAAATCAACACTGAGGAATTCTGGTCAAAAATATTGTGATATCTGACTTTATCTATACTGTCTAACCCTATACAGCATCATAGCAAGGCTATATTTGTCTCATTAATACCACGATGTGAAGACCATACTATAAGGTAAAATAAGCTTAAGAGTCTCTATGGAAATGTTGTCACTGAGGCCTGTAGGTACATTAATAGGTTCAACTTGGTACCATAAGTATTTCTTTAATCTTGTAGCCTTAAAATCCAAACTGTAAACAACAACAACTCGTCAGTAGGAATGCATAAAGAAGCCAATGGACTGTTGGTGTCTGGCAGTGGCCTACAGCTGGAAACAATGGGAGGGGATTTTTGTAAGAGACACATCAGAGGGTGATGATGTCCAGTCTACTGTGCGGCCAAACCAGCTCACCTGCAGCCTCCGGCGCCGGATTATCCCCGAGTCATCCATGGTGCAATGAAGAAGCGGGGGTTTCCCCTCACCAAAACAATCTCTTGACCCCCCTCACTGTTCAGTGATTATGACCCGGCAGGGCTGCGGCATCCACCGGGGCTCCAGTTCACACCCGACCTGCACAGCAGCAGCAGAAACAGCGTCCTGGCGCACAGGAGCCAAAAAGGCGCACACAGTGTCACGTCGAAGAAGCCCAGAAAAACACACAAATGTCAAGCAGTCCCATTCTGTGTGGTTAAAAATGTCTCTGAAACAGCAGCAGCAGCGCTTCTCTCTCAGCTCCACTTCTGACCTGTGTCTCAGGGTTGCCAGTCATGCTGCTGTCTCTGCGGTCTGCGCTCCCTCCCGGAGCATCCTTGACATTTTGCCAGAGGTTTGTGCGCTTTGATGCTGTCAAGAGGCCCGAGCAGTCACTGCAAACACAATGCACATGTAGGATCCGCCGAAACCAACTTCTGTTGTTCCACAGGAATCTCCCGAAGAAACGTGAGCTCCTTCCCACATTTGGCCACAAAGGACAACGTGTTCAGAGCTCAGCGCGGGGCGAAAACAAGCAGGCGGTGATTTTACACACTACTGCACCGTAGTTGAGCAGCGGTGGTCGGAGACGCGCTTCATCCTTGAGCCCCTCGGTCGGACTGACATTGCCGCTGATTCGCCGCGGAGGAACCTGTCTGGTCCCGTACACATCACCGGGGGAGAGGAGAGCGCCGTCCTTCCTGTCGTCCCTCTTCCACAAAAGCACATAAAGTTGAAACTCTTATCCGATTCATTCATCAATCCGTCGCTCCTCAACCTTCACTTCCTATGAACCCGGTGACTGGACGGGGCGACAGCAGCAACGCGATATTTCTAACCCCTTCCCTGGGATTCCCTCTCGCTCCTCCTCCTCCTACACACTCAGCGGAGAGTCCCTCCTCAGATGAATGAAGGAGCATCCAACCAGCAGATACAGTCACACTGCATGGGCTCTGTTATGATGAGGGCTTTTTAAACACATCGTGTAGAGACTATTGCTGCTTTCATATGCGCAGCATGGGTCAGAAAGTTCAAGCTCACGTTTAGGACACCCAAGCTTTACATACAACAACATGCATGTGTGATTATGTGAATGGAGCCACATTCAGCACCTCAGACAGCGACACAGGATTCACAGGTGCACCACAATGTGTGGAAAGTTGCCCTACATTACAGTAAAGTACCATAATTTGAGCTCATGTAACCTTCAGTAACAGTAATCTAACACTATAACTACTTAGCAAATATCTAGAAGGCTGATTTTAAAGGAAACGTGATTCCATAACCCCATTCATAACTACGACTAACAAAAATTGGAGGAATGTAGGTTCATTCAAGGGTTGATTTAGTCACACAGAGCTGCACTTTGATGGTAAAGAGTTAGCATAGAGGATCATACAGTGAGGAAAGCTGCAGAAAGTTCAATTTATTATAGTATTGGTAACAAAAACGAGACTTAAAGTCTACAATATGTAAAATAAACATATAACTTGGGCCTATGAAGCTAGGTTACAACCCACAGGTAGTTAGCTTAACGTTAGCTTACTTTAGCATACAGACCAGAAACAGCTAACGTTTCTCTGGCTCCGTCCAAAAGCAACCTACATATCATCCAATTTATATTTTTGTTTAATATGTTTAAAAAAAAGTGTAAAACCTGCCCAGATAACCGTAACGCTAGCTAGCTTGGTTAGCACGGTGTATTTACAGCTATGGCTAACTGTGCTAATGCTAATGCTAACTTCCGCTAGCGAGAAACAGGCTTCAAACCATTAAAACAAAATGTACTCACCAGAAAACCTGAATATCCGAGTCCTTCAAGGATCCTTTAGTTCAACCAAACACCGAACAAGAGTTTATAGGCGACCATAATGTTACAGTAAACTTTTATGAACTTTGAATACTGAAATAGCGACAGCTTAGGCTACAGCTAAGTCACTAGATGGCGCCGTTGCCCTGGCAGTTCACACTGTTTGTCCCTGGGAGGACACCATAGTTTTTAATTTTCTCAGTTTAGGACGCCATGTTTTTCAAGAAGAAAGCGTATTGCATTCACTTGACAAATAAAAAAAAAATCTGGTTTATTGAGTAATTTTTTCAGTTTATGGTGGTATTTTTTTTTTGTTTTTCAGGGTAATTTTTCTGTTTTTCTGAGCTTTTTTTTTTTTTTTTTTTTCTTTACACATATACCTACATCGCCGGCGCCTCAGCTGCACTCCCCGTGGATCCAATATTTTCATCAGTCTCCTGATCGTCTCCTGAGTCACCACGTAGCCAGCCTGAATACATTTCAGATGCATCATCTTGTATCCATGGAGCTTGCCATATGTGCCCAACTGATTCTGGAGAAACACTGCAGTGTCCAACAGATCTGAATGGGCTTTTCGTCTGAACAACCGCAAAGTCTTAAGGTGCCTGCGTAAAGTTGACAAACTAATGATAACACCATCTACTGTATATGACTTAAAGACAAGAGTATCTCCCAGTGTCTCAAACCCAAAACCAAGTAAAACCGGATTAAACTAAACAAGCGGGTCATGTTTGCTTCCATTATATCCAGCTCTCATGAAAGGAATGAAAGCGTCTGTTGTTCTATTGCTCTCTTAACTCAGAGAAAAATACTCAGAAAAACAGAAAAAATTACTCTGAAAAAACAAACAAACACGAAAAACAGAAAAAATTACTCAATGAAACAGATTTTTTTTATTTGTCAAGTGAATGTAATACGCTTCTGTACCTGCATACCCGTATTTTATTTGTATTCTTCTTTTATTTATTTTTTTTATTTATATCTTTATTTTCATTTTAAAATTAATTTTATTGAACAAAAAGGTCTGCAGGGCAAGCATTCTGCTTTATATCACAGTATCAACACTAAATCCACCTATTTTGTTAATTTGTTCAATGTTGCTATTTATTAACATGTCAGCCTAAAGTCTGCCACAGGGTTTGACTATAAATCTTTACTGGTAAACTGCAGACTACTGATTCTGTGAAAGGCAGGCAGGACAGAGCGTTAGCTTTTCTGTTAACTGTTAACTTTATTTGAGAATGTATGCTTAATGTTGGTAATTGATTCTTTTCAGAGAGTTGTGGTTTAGTTTAGTTTATTTATTCATTTTCACATACACAAATAGAAAAGATGTATAGAAGCCAAAAATGGCTTATGAAAATACCTCCCCTATTAAATAACAATCAGACATAACAGACATCAGATGTACAATTTACAAAAAATGTATAAACAAGCTGAAATGCATCACAAATGAATCAATTGAGTGGTTAGTCTTTGTAAATTAGAATCATTTTCAGATGTTCTTGAATAACAATAATGTAGCTGATTATATTTTGTTGAACAGGTGTGTGCTAGACTCTAGCACACACCTGATGACAATCAAGAGCGAATCTGATGACGCAACAAGCGAAACGCGTTGTTCGCTCTTTTTGTTGTTAAACATTTTTGAATAAACTTTGTGTCAATCCTGATATTCTAGTGTGCGCTGGAAGTTTTTGAACTCTTGACTGTGATTTATCCTGCATCAGCTGGCACCTAGAAGAAGCACTGCGCCGCTGTGCACAGGGATTTACTATTTTTCTGTACAACGCTTTTAAAAATGTCTGTTTTAGTGACCTAAAACTTTTTGCATGTGAATGAGATGCCAAAAGTTTAAAAAACTATAGACACAGTCAGAGCCAAAATTCACGCCAAAATCTGGGCTACTACAACTGCTAATCAAGGATTCCCAATAATGCCAAGTAAATGCAGTCTTCTATATTCTGAATTGAATATTAGACCTAAGATGAACATTCAATTATGAGATTTCTTTAGGGAATAATAAAGTAGTGTAAACAACATTAGCATACAGTGTGACACGAAGTTGAAGGTATTTAAAAAAAAAAAAAACTTGAAAGAAAATAGGGCCCAATAACCTGACAGGTTAATCCAGCCTCAGTTAGCTTTGATGTGTGCTAAAACTGTTATTTTATTTTTTCAAGTTTGCAACATTATGACTCAGCTCAGGTGATAAAATGGACCCAGGTAACAGAGTGATCAGCCGCACTATTAGGCCAAGTTAAATTCTCAGCCACAGGGCATTTGTGACCTTGAGCACAGGATTATTGTGTGTGAAGAATAAATGTAGCTGCATCAACAGTTTACATATTGTGAATGTGTATTGTGTCAGTATCATCTCAAAAACAGACAGGATTCTCCGACACAAAACAAAACCCGAGGCTGCCTGAAAAACCAAACAAGGACAACAGGATGTTTCCACACATGACATTACTTGTGTGATTGACAGGCGGCTGGCCCTTTGGCAAAGCCATTGCATAATGCTCTGCTGAGGATTAGGACTTTCACACAGTTTTTATGTAACATATGGTCCGAGCTGCCCACACAGCCATGACCTCATCAGTGCCAGACGCAGCAAGAGATCTGCAACACAGCGTCCAAACCCGGCCCACGCTGACCAGTCGGAGAGGAACTGGGCAGGAAGGCTGCGGGGATGCTGCTGGTCTGAGTTCAAGTGACTGACAAACAGGTTGTTTTTCTTCCAAAGAAAAGGCTCTCTGCACAGGATTCATAGACATCCTTTATCTCAACAGGTAAACCAACTGCAGCTGTGTTTTTGGCCATGCTCACTGTCAGTCCACCACTTTGGTCCAGACTAATATTTTAATGGATTTTGTACAGACATTCATGATCCTGAGAGGATAAATCCTACTGACTTTTGTGATGCTGACTCATCCTGCAGCACCACCAACAACAGAATCAAGAGACAAGTAGACACATTATGGTCAAACTTCTTGTATTAACATATTTTTCTTTCTTTGTGTTTAAAGCAACAAGTCTTCCAACCCATACAACCACATAGCCTGTATATAAAGATGGACAACAAGTCTTCACATCCTCCCACAGTACAAAAATGGACCAGAACATCCCAGATACGTCTGTCGTCGTCTTGCACTGGTGACATTTAGACCCAGAGTCTGCGGAGTCAACACATTCTCACTCCAACCTCACATTTCAATGTTTGGTCATGGACTTTCCACGTTCAGATTCGACGTCCAAGGCACCCTGGGTGTGTTCGTTGTTGACGTTCTGGGGCACCACGTCAAGTTCTGTCTGTTACATGCATTGTCTGTCAGAGGTCGAGTGCAGACAGTCGGTAATTTGCTTTAATGCTCACACCAATACACAACAGTTCTGGGGTCTTAGCTTGCTTGAAGTCTCTGTGGTGAGTGAGTGAGACGAGAGCAGGCAGCCAACACTCAAGAGCAGTCTGAGAGCTGGAGACTGTACCGTGAGTGCAGGTGGGTGCAGGAGAGCTGAGGTAAGCAGGACTGGAGAAGCACCGTGCGGCCACAGAGCCAAGCAGACGAGAACCAGGAAGGGAGCAGGCAGTCCTTGGAGTCGGAGACAGAATGCTGATGTGAATACCAGGGCAGGGTCGACGGAGGCAGGTCAGGAACAGGCAGGGTCGGTACTGGGGAATCAAGCAAGAGTGAATGCTGGAAAGTCTTGCATGAAGTCGAAGAACAATCTGGCACTGAGGGAAAGGCAGCAGCTGCTTATATGCAGGAAGGGCTGATGAGAAGCAGCTGTGTGCACAGGTGAGTGGAGCTGACTTGATGAGGGGGGGCGTGGTTGGCTGGCAGGGCGCAGATGAATGGAAATTTACCAGGAGCATGAGGGAGAGAAGCAGACTGTGACGTTTACATACAGTCTCTTTCAAAATAAATGATCTACTTCAGTACAACACCGCGAATTGACCTTTTTAGGAAAAAAAGAACAGGGTTTGGCTTTACAGTCTTACAGGAGACGAACACTGCTCTCCCAGGTGGTTGTTGGACCCATCCACTAC